CGGAGTATTGTAGCTAAACGATTAGATTTTAACAAATTGTAAGTTTTGGGTTCGTTTAAGGAATATTAGAGCTACAATTTAAAAATATTTTTACAACATACAGAGTGTCCAAAATAAATAAAAAATATCAAAGTTATATTTTTTTAAATGGAACACCCTGTATATTATTACATTTTTAGTTTCTACGATAAAAATAAAGGTAAATTTGATTAAGTTTTATTACACTTAAACCTTACCGTTTTTAAAATATTTTCAATTTTGTAAAATTGCAGTAAAAATTTTAAGGCTTCATTTCTCCGAGGGTATCAAAGTTTTTAATGCTAAATATTTACTGAAGTTTATTTATTGATCAGTTACTGTATTGCAATAATAAAAATTATACTAGCTTATACAGATTGCCTAAAAATTTATTTTAAATAATTACTAGTTTTAAACGGCAATAACTTGTTTAATTTAAATGGAATACCCTATATATTTTATGATAATCAGATGCACAATTTAATTGCCTATCAAATTGTATTATACTATTTTTTACCTATCTCTTCAAGTTTCTGTAGAAAATGCATTTTCTTGTAATTTAGAACTCATTTATCAATATACCCATGGAATACTGACATTATAGATTATTTTTAAAGATGTACCAAATTTTTAAAGAGTATAGACACTAATATTGTCGATATTCGATTATTTCATTAAAAAAATTAAAAAACTGTTTAAATATTTGTTTAAGAGGACCAATTAATATGATTTCAGTATTCAAACTGCATTAATTGAGTGTTTGCGTTGATTAATAATAATTGCTCCAAATCCCAAAAAATGAATTTAGTACCTATGTGTATTAGACAGTGTGGTAAAAAGTAACACCTGATACGTTTATTTTCATAACTTATTATTATATTGATTTCTGATTCAAATCCACATTTATTAAGAATAATTTATTAACTAACACAATTAAGTGTGTAATTAATTAGTATTTGGGCGGAAATAATGGTGGTATGTTTAATTAATGGTATACTCTTTTATAAAGATTTAAATAGTTTTCTTTTTGCATACAAATGGGCTAGTAATATTATCGTTTTGCTAAAAACGGGAATATTACTAGCCTGTACATTTTGTACATTGGTTGCTTTAAAAACAATCTAAAATGTCAATACTCCATGGGTATATTGATAAAAGAGCTCTAAATTATAAGAAAATGCATTTTCTACGAAAACTTGAAGGGATACGTAAAAAGTGGTATAATACAATTCGATAGACAATTAAATTGTGCATCTTATTCTCCTAAAATATAATAAACTCCGCCTCTGGTACAAACTGGGTGAACTGAGTAACCCAGTAAAAGCCAGTGCCGGTCCCAAGCCCGGATAAAGGAGGAGGGTTCTCAGGCTAGGTTAGCACCCTGCCTGAGGTAAAAGAAACATACTGCTCACAGAACTGAAGGGATAGCCTCGGAAAACGATCGGAACCATATGATGACGACACACGCTATGAAAAGGAAAAGACGACTAGGGAGAAGTAAACACACCATAACAAGACTTGCCTGCTGGAATATAACATCGTGGAATGGCAGAGACCAGGAGATTGTTAACGAAATGAAACAACACAAGATCGATATATGCGCTCTATCAGAAACGAAGAGGAAAGGACAGGGCACATCAAGATACGATAACTACATATTAGCCTACAGCGGAAGAGCTAAACAAGATCGAGCACAATCGGGAGTAGGAATTCTACTCCACGAGAAATACGAACAATGTATAGAAAGCATAGACTACATTAACGACAGAATCATTAAAGTATCTCTAAAAATCAACCACAGGCAAACACACTTAATAAGCACATACGCACCGGATATAAGCAAACCCATAGAGGAGAGCGAAACATTTTACCAAGACCTACAAAAATACTATAGATAAACTAAACAACACGGACAAAATTATTATACTCGGGGATTGAACGCCAGAATAGGCAGGGAAGTGATACCAGGTATAAAACAAAAATACAATGAAGAGATAACCAACGAAAATGGAGAACTCCTGATAGACTTCTGTGCAAGAAACGAGCTACGAATAAACAACACGTATTTCCCCCACAAAGAGCAACATAAATATACATTTAGGAACACCAGGGATCAAAAGTCGATGATTGACTACGTAATAAGTAACAGGACAATTATACCATCACAAGTAATAGATGTAAGGGCACTCACCTCAGCGAACATAGGCACAGATCACAGCCTACTACTGTGTAAAATGCTCATGGAAAAGCCCCACAGGACCAAAAAACCCCCAGTAACCATCGAAAAATTCAACATTGAATCACTGACAGATGATAGCACGAGAAACCTGTATGAGAACCGATTAACAAACAAACTGAAAGGACTTAACATGAGTGAAGGCGATGTGGAGAGCTGCTGGAATAAAATCAAATCGTGTATCGTAGAGGCAGCCGAAGAATCCATTGGCAAAAGAAAAGTCAACATAAATGGAACCAATAATAGCAAAAAACCCTGGTTCTGTCACGAAATTAAAGAACTTTCTCAACAGAAAAAGAAATCCTATCTCAGATACAGGAGCTCACCAACGACAGAAAAACGCGTCGAATATACAGAAGTGAGAAACAGAATCAATGCCAGAATCAAAGCCATAAAACGGGATTACTGGGCAAAATTTACAAGCGATATGGATCACGACCTATACGGAGCACAGAAGAAAGTCTGGAAGATGCTTAAGAACAGGAAAAAGCCAGTAAATGAGTTTGTGCAAACAAAAGGAGTTACTAAGGATGTATGGGAGAGCTACTTCAGGAAACTTTACAACACCGAAGAAGTCATAAACGTCGAAAACTACGAGACAAACCATCAAATAACACTGAACGAAGAAGAGGTAATGGCAAAAATCAAAAAATTGAAAAACAGAAAAGCCCCCGGAACAGACCTTATACCAAATGAACTTCTGAAATACGCCGGACCTGAACTAGGAAAACATTTAAAAATCCTTTACAACAAAATCTTAGAAACATCGGAAATACCTACGGAATGGCACAAAAGTATAACTATCCCTATATTCAAGAAAGGACAGAAGACGAACCCAGACAACTACAGAGGCATAACACTGCTGAACACAAGCATGAAACTCTTTACGGGTATTTTGAAGGAGAGACTTGAAACACAAATAACAAACAAGGAAGAACAACAAGGCTTCAGACGAAACAGATCCACGACCGATGCCATATTCATTATCAAACAACTAAAAGAAAAGTCAATTGAATTTAATACACCAGCATACGTCTGCTTCATCGACCTCACCAAGGCATTTGATAGGGTGCGCCTTTACGACATCGTCAATATACTAATGGCGAGAGAGGCGCCAGACACCATTGTAAGAGCGATCCACAACCTAAACATGAACAACAGGACTAGAGTAAAGGCAGGAGACACTTATACGGAAGAGATACCGACACCAGGAGGCATCAGACAAGGTGACAGCCTTAGCCCATTTCTGTTCAATCTCTTAATGGACAGAATTATAGAGGAAGTATCATCACTAAATATAGGATACCGAATGGGACAGAAAAGAATCAGCATGGTATGCTACGCCGATGACGCAGCCATTTTCGCGGAAACGGAGGACGACCTGCAGAAACAGCTTCACAGATTCTACCAGGTCAGTCAAGCGATGAATATGACCATATCTACAGAAAAAACGAAAAGCATAACCTTTGCTAAAGACCCCGTGAGATGTAAGTTGGTAGTTCAGGACAAAATCATCGAGCAAGTCTCACAATTCAAATACCTGGGTATGGATCTGTCGAGCCACCATGATCCAGCGAAGGACTTAAGAAGCCAGATCAACAAAGCGACTGCCATGTCGGGCTGCTTAAGGCAAACAATATGGGCGAACGAATACATGAGATGGGATAGCAAGGTAAAGATATACAAGACTTGTATCAGACCAATCATGACATACGGAATAGAAACCAGAGAGGAAACCAACAAAACGAAGAGCATGCTACGAGTAGCCGAGATGAAAACGCTCAGGACAATAATGGGAAAAACAAGAAGAGACCGAATTAAGAACACCGACATCAGGGAACAATGTGAGGTGCAAGACATAGTAAGGTGGGGCAGACAAAGAAAAAGAGGTTGGTACGCCCACGTGAGAAGAATGGATGAGAGAAGACTGCCACGAATTGCATTAGAAGGGAAACCAACAGGGAAAAGAGAACCTGGAAGACCACCTAAGAGATGGAAGGACAGCTGGCAGTCCACCTCCCAAGAACTGTTACAGAGGACCCATCAAAATTAACAGATCGCGAGATCTTAAAAATGAATAAGAAGAAGAAGAAGAAGAAGATTCTCCTAAAATATACAGGGCATTCCATTTAAATTAAACAAGTTATTGCCGTTTAAAGCTAGAAGTTATTTAAAATAAATTTGTAGACACTCTGTATGAGGTAGTATTATTTTTATTATTGCAACACAATAACTGATCAATAAATAAACTTCAGTAAATATTTAGCATTAAAAACTTTGATATCCTTGGAGAAATGAAGCCTTAAATTTTTTACTGCAATATTACAAAATTGAAAATATTTCAAAAACGGTAAGGTTTAAGTGTAATAAACTTTAATCAAATTTATCTTTATTTTAATCGTAGAAACTAGAAATGTAATAATATACAGTGTGTTCCATTTAAAAAAATACAACTTTGATATTTTTTATTTATTTGGGACACTCTGTATCTTGTAAAAATATGTTTAAATTGTAGCTCTAATAGTCCTTCAACGAACCCAAAACTTACAATTAGTAAAAATCTAATCGTTTAGCTGCATTACTCCGTGTCGTATGTGGTGAACAACCCTGTATGTTTAAATAAATAAATTTTCTTTGTTTAAACGAAATTTATTAAAGTGATCCCTAATTCGTTTTGACTAGTTTATTTACATTTGTGGGACTTAAGTTGGGAGAACATTAAAGTACATTTTTGTGTCTTCTTTAGATTAGTAGAACTTTACGAGAGTCCGAAATCCTCAGTTGACTTAAAATCGAAATGTCATAATGCCTTGAAGCTCTGTCTACAAAATTGTTTGCTGGTGAGCGCCTTGGAACCTTTGCTATTCAACGCTCCTCCTGAAATCCTCAAGTATGTTTTGGGTCAATACAGTAAGGTAAGGTCTTTTATTATATTACATATATCCCTTTTTTTTCGAAGTTTTTAAGTGAAAAACCTTATTGGTTTTTAATTCAATTTTAACAATATTTATATTAATTAAATTTAAAGTAAATATTGTTAATCATGTCTTGGATAGTAAATGACTCAACAAATCTATATATTTCAGTGACTTATGTGTATTTATACGTATATATGTATCATATTTCAATCTGCCTTTTTTTCCTGTTGATGTGTCACAAAAGTTCATCTCTGATGCATTTCTTTTAGTCTAAGAGCTAGCAACGTTTTCGAGAAAGTATTTTAAGACGTCTGGCTGTTTGATATATATATATTTTATTAGATAGATTAGATTTCACTACTGCGCATCGGAAGAAGATTCTATATATATATATATATATATATATATATATATATATATGCTTATATATATATATATATATATATATATATATATATATATATATATATATATATATATATATATATATATATATATTTTTTTTTAATTTAGTCCTATCAATTCTAGTATTGAATATAAATCGACCATGTCTCCATAGCGCAGTGCGTATAGTTTTCGACTACGAACCGAGGATTCAGAGTTCGAATCTGGGTCAGGGCAAAGACTTTTTTTATCTTATTCTCGTTAACGTTGTACTTAATAATTCAGGTGATTAAAAAAAAACAAATATTTAATACTTTACTATCAGAATATAAACGAAAATAAAATAAAAAAGTTTTTGCACTGACCCGGATTCGAACTCTGACTCCTCGCGTGAGAGGTAGGACCTCTACGCGCTGAGCTATGGAGACTCGGTCGGTTTATATTCAATACTAGAATTTAAAAGACTAATAAAAATATACGATCTTCTTTCAATGCGCAGTAGGGAAAGCAACGATTACCGGCATCCAGACGGGCCGCATGCTGTTCTACGGAGCATAGTAAAAGATATATCAAAAATCAAAAACAGCCAGACGTCTTAAAATACTTGTTTCTCCGACGTTGCTAGCTCTCGTACTATTTTGTTTTAATAATTTAGTTCAAGTATGTTGATAAGTATCTTGGTCGTAGGTTACATCTAGTGATTAGTATAAAATAATGACAATACAATATATATGTTACGGTGAAGGTCCGATGTCCGGTTAATGTTGACATTACCCGGTTTATCTCGAGAATAACACACAACAGAACAACCAAAAACATAACCAAACTCAAACATTAACATGTTAATGTTGACATTAACCGGACATCGGACTTTAACCGTAACATATATACAATAATATAGCCCTACAAAAATGTGAATATTTTGATAGTGGTTTGACATTGTTTTTCTTAATCGCATTAATCGCATTCGTTTCGTTAATTGCATCGTTTGATCATGAGCAATGAGAAAATAAACAGACTCTATAACTCAAGAATGTGAATCCCTCTTGATTTTGGGAGAAAATGATTATCCATCATTGCACATTGATTTTAGTGTCAAAACAACAGATATTAAAAAGATAAATTTTGTCTATACATGGGCATCTATATATGATGAAGGATGATAATTTAAAATCCCTCTTAAACTTACCTAATGATTGTATGTCAGAAGTCTACACATTAAAAAAAAATATTTAAATTTTATGTGCCTAAAGTAAGCCTACGCCGCTCTACAAATTCAAATAAAACTTCACTTACAAACACTTGTAGTTTCCTTACTTGTAATAACTATTTTGGTGTTTTTAAGGAGTAGTTTAAAATAAAAATAAAATATTGAGCATCAAAATAAACGAATGCTACAAATAGTTTCCTTTTCATATCATTAACCTTTGACTAAAAATAACCGAGATTATAATAATAAAACGTTGCATATACGTAACTTACGGATTTCCTCTTCCAAAGTTCACCAAAATAAATTTAAACATGCGCCGCAAATGTACCTGTTTACTTAGAGGAGACGCACTTTATGCCTATTCCGAAAAATGCGAAGTATTTTTGGAAAAAGTCCAAACACACAGTAACCAAAATCATATCAAAATAATATTAACTGCGCCTCGCTAAATTTAGCAAAGTTCAAAACGCACCGATCTGATGTGGATGATCCCAATTTAGATTTTTATGTTGTTGTAGGTCAAAATTGTTTACATTGTTTGTGGTGGGTGTGGATGGAAATACTCAGATAATTGTTTCACTTCAAAGATAGGTTTGGAGCTATTTTCTTAAATTGTTTGTTTATGAAATCTGAAATCCTAATAGATAATAATTGGAGATTTTTTTTTGATTGCTAATAGAGAAATCTCCTAGGATTTTCCAGTATGTAAAGACATATTGTGGTTCAAAGAAGAAAAATAAGTCAGTAAGTAAACAAGGAGTTGGTCAAGGAAGATGTTACGGCACTATATAATATTATATCCAGTGACTTAGGCACCATTAAATCTTGGTGCGATTCTAATCTCCTATGCCTCTACCTATCAAAAACTAAAGTGTTGTCATATAAAAGTACTATACAACTTTTTGTACTTAATAACACCACTATTAACGTCGTGGACTCTGTGAAATTATTAGGACTTGTTGTAGACAACTCGTTAAAATGGAACTTTGAACATCGAAGCTTCATCAAAGAAACTAAGCGCTGCCTGTTTTGCTCTAAGATCAGTTTCTAAGGAACTTAACTTATCAACCTCTAGAATAGTCTATTATGCCCTTTTTGAGTCGCATCTTCGTTATGCCCTTCCATTTGGGGTACTTACTGCGCAAGAAAATTTGATCGTATTTACAAACTTCAAAAGAGATCAGTTAGATATTTATTGGGACTGAACAGTAGAATCCACTGCTGAAATTTCTTTAAAAATTTCAAAATACTGACTCTTTCTTCTTAATTCATTTTTGAATCCGTTTGCTTAATCCGCAAGCACATATCTGCTATTCCCGAAAAGCCATCTCACAACTATCCACTTAGGAATGCGGAGCACGATCTTTATCTGCCAACTCCGAGCTCAGAACTAGTTAAAGGCTCAATACTGTACAATGCCAAAAGAATGTACAATCATCTGCCTTTGAATATCAAGTCGCTTTCATTCTTTCCCGCATTTCGCATAGTTCTGAAATCATACTTACTGTAGGGAGCCCTATATGCGGTGAACGATATACGGTATGATCGAACAATACCGCATGATCGAAATAAACGGCGTCCAGTTGGCTGGGAAATGACGATCGATGATATTTCCGATATAAATTTACCTATAAAATGACAGCGTTCTTCATTTCATAGCCATCGCTAACGCCGTTTTTTTTTCGATCATACGGTATTATAAAGAGTAAACACTTAAGGCATTTTAGTATTCAAAAATAAACTTTCTTAAATAATCTTTATACTCTAATTTAATGCCTAACTAATATATTTTATACACTATAAAAATTTCAACAAATACATTTACACAAAATTACATTTAAATAAAACTAGAATTACTTAAGATTTATTCATAGGTATGTTGATTGAATAGAGTAATGGAATTAAATATACATTTAAACTTATTTTATGACGCAGTATAGAATAGTAAAAAATACCCAAAATATACTTTTCGAAAATACTGGTTAGTCAAAATAAGTTTTTAACCGAATATTTTTCTATCTTAATATAACAAGGATATAACCGAGTGTTATATATTTTGGAGAAGTCCATAGCAAGACGAATCATATGATTTATACATGATAATATGCAGGGTGTTTGAAAAAAAACGTTCATATTTTCGAAAATATTTTTTTTTGTAGAAAAAAGGGTACGCCACTGTATTCTATTTCACGGCCTATTGAGATACGGTTTTTTTTTTAATTTTTTACCATTTGGAAAATTGCTTATAACTTTTGTATTTCGCGGAGTAATAAAATTCTGTAAAAACGTCCTGAAGGCACTTTTTTAAGCACAATCCAGTGGCGTAGTCAGTTTTTCTCTAGAGTTGCTCTTTTTGTCAGAAATAATAAAAAATATAATTTTTTAAATCGAAATCATAGTTGGCTATGAACTTAAAAAAATGCTGGCGTTTAATCCTTTGCAACGATATAAAGTTATGGGCAATTATTTTTAAGAATGAGAGAAATATTAGGGTTTTTTTATCTTTATATCGAAGGGGGCCTTGATTTTGTGTTGACCTAGTTGCCTAATTATTTTTTATCACAATTTAATATTCTATAGTATTATTTATCTGCATAATTAAAGACTGTTAAAAAGGTAAATCTACATTCTATATTAGTATTACCAATTACAATTAAAACGCTATGGTTACAACTGAACTATTAAATGGAGAATTTAGAAAGAATTGGACTGGAAGAATGGGCCCCATGTCTTAGCCTGCTAGGTCCTATGATTTAACTTCTTTCGACTTTTATTATGGAGGAAATTAAAAGACCTTATATATAAAAACCATTGGGACGAGAGAAGAATTACAGAAGGCTACCAGGCAAGCTTTTGGGCTTATTACACCAGTTTGCCTAATAAATCGCTGTAACGCCTGTAACTCTTTGCGTAAAAGATGTTTATTGTGTATTTAACAAGCAGGTGCTCAGTTTGAACATGTTTAATGATTTTTTTTAGAAAACTATACTTGTCACTTGTCACTCAAAAAACACGTTTTTTTAGTTTTGTTCTTTGTAATTCTATCGATTTCAATTGTATCTAAAAAATTTTGGTTTCACGTCATCAATGACACCATGCGTCGTCTTATGGAGTTTGCTGGTGGTCGTATTATGATGTGCAACCAAAGTTTTGTTAAATATACTATAATTACTAATACTAATATAGAATATTAATTTACCTCTTCAAGAGTCTTTAATTATGCAAATAAATAATAATATACAAAATAAAATTGTAAAAAAATAATTAGGCAAATAGGCCAACACAAAATCAAGTCCCGCTTCGATATAAAGATAAAAAACTTAATATTTCTCATTCTTAGAAATAAATACCCATAAATTTCTATCGTCAGAAAGGATTAAACGCCAGCATTTTAAGTTCATATATCTAACTATGATTTCTATTTAAAAAATTATATTTTTTATTATTTCTAACAAAAAGAGCAAGCATAGACAGAAACTGACTACACCACTGGATCGTTCTTAAAAAATTGCCTTAAGAGTGTTTTTACAGAATTTTATTATTCCGCGAAATAAAAAAGTTATAGGCAATTTTCAAAATGGTAAAAAGTTCAAAAAGGATTGTTCTTAAAAAAGTGCCTTAAGAGTGTTTTTACAGAATTTTATTATTCCGCTAAATAAAAAAGTTATAGGCAATTTTAAAAATGGTAAAAAATTAAAAAAAAACCGTATCTCAGTTGGCAGTGAAAATATCAACAGGCGGTTTATGCCATTAAACGTGTCTCAGAAATCGAGCCCATGACATCTATGTCGGTTTTTCTCTATCTAGTCAGGAAATAGGTTTTCTCTGTTAAAACAGACCCATTTCGACCACCCTGTACAGGGTGGGTCAAATTCGACGCTTTTAAATGGAAACACCCTTTTCTATAGGAGATAGACGAAAACTAATATCGGTGTCTGGAGCTCAATTTTCATCAAAAACATGATGGTGAAAACCGCACATCAATATCTGTTACCGTTTCGGAGTTACGGGGTGTTTTTCAAAACTGTGCATTTTTAACAAATTGCTGTAACTTTTTTGCTATGGAAAATTTTGTATTTCTATGAAAACATTTCCAAAACACCTTTTTACGTAGAATTTAATGGTTTAAGTATAATTTTCTTAAAATTAATAATTTAAGAGTTATCAACAGAAAAATTGATTTTTTATTTGGGACACCCTCCATATTTTTAATTAACTGAAAAGAATTTAAAATTACCTTTCCAAAAATATAGCACACTTGATATTTTGTTATAATCCTCTTCGAAATACAGATTTTTTAAAAGTTCGCCACTTTTAACTAGTAGGCTTTGGACCCCTTATTGATGATATACCTCTAATGGAACTCGAAAACATATTTTTCCAGCAAGACGACGCACCGGCTCTGAACGCTGAAGTTATTAGCAAATTTTTGCAGCCAATTTCAAGAATATTTGAATAGTTAACCAAGATCCCAGCCGTTGGCCGTCGAGGCCGCCTGACTTAGTGCCCATGGATCTAATCCTATTGATATATTTGCGAAAAAAAGGTTCCTTATTCTTCCATATAATCTAGACAAGAATTAGAAATACTTAGCAGTTATGAGAAGGTATCTTTCACCCCCACTGAGTTAATGAATTTCGCGAGAAATGTTCAAAAACTGCCCCGTCTGTCCATAACAGAAGACGGTCGATATGTTGAACACCTATAGCAAAATCTCATGTCTTGGTTTGCTATTTATTTTTAATGTTATTAGATGTAGTTTAAATGTGTTGATGTTGGTTAAATATGTTTTAAATTGTTATAAAATTCTGCATCTGTCATAGCAAATATTATTTTCGTTTTAATTGATGCTCACAGCTAGATTGCATTACAGCCGGTGCCGTTCAAATCCTACTTATTTAAAGCGGGCGAATTTTTATATACTCTATATCTCGAAGAGGAATCGAGCAAAATATTAAGTATGCTATATTTTTGGAAAGGTAATTTTAAATTCTTTTCAATAAATTAAAAATATCCAGGGTGTCCCATATAAAAAATCAAATTTTTTGTTGATAATTCTTAAAATATTAATTTTAGAAAAATTATACTTAAACCATTAAAGTCTACGTAAAAAGGTGCTTTGGAAATGTTTTCATAAAAATACAAAATTTTCCATAGCAAAAAAGTTACAGCGATTTGTTAAAAATGCATATTTTTGAAAAACACCCCGTAACTCCGAAACGGTAACAGATATCGATATGCGGTTTTCACCATCATGTTTTTGACAAAAATTAAGCTCCAGACACCGATATTAGTTTTAGTCTATCTCCTATAGAAAAGGGTGTTTCCATTTAAAAGCGTCGAATTTGACCCACCCTGTACATACTGCAGGGATAATGATTTCCCGCATTAAACACTGTGGGACAAATACATCCTCTTTTTCGAAATATCTAATAAGTCTTCATCCAAAATCCGAAAGGCGCATATGTTTGTCTTTACAAAACTGCAATTCTTTTACCTTTTGAGCGACTCTCTTGCTCCAGTAGTTCTCCATAGAGAATATCTTAGAAAACTCAGCCTGTATACACACTCTTCTTATTTCTGCTTTTCTATTGAATAAGGGAAATATTTACTATAGTAAATATTACGTAAAAGTAGGGAATACACCCCTGAAAACTTCCATATGACCGAGAAAGCCGTTCTATCGATCGCCCATGTTTTGCAAGCGTTTTCTCACAGTAACCGACTGAACTTTCTTGCAAACGTAACTCGCAGCTCGGAAATGCGTGTATTTGGCATGACCAGCGATTTGTTTACACTCGAATCTGTCTTAATTTAATGGAATCTCTTCTAGGTTCTATGAAAAAGGGACATGTCTGACAAAGTTTACTTATTTTCGATGCAGTTTTGCCATTTCTCAGTGAATACATTAACATTTTTGTTACGTGAGAGATATTCAACAGTTTTGGCTAAGAAGGAAGCAAATTAGTTAATAACTATTACGTAGCGCGAGTGATATAATAATTCTGCAAAATTTTCCCCCCTAATTTAGTAATAAAATATCTGAAGAGTATGAGAAAAAGTGCAGTAAGCTCCGTCAGCACAAAAACATACGCTCCCAATAACCTGGAGATTACAGGTAACAAGATAAACCTAACAGAAATTAAACAAGAAAAAAGAAACAAGATATTTCCCCGAAAAAATTTAGTGATAGAATCCGCAGAACAGGAAGAACCAAACATCATCATAAAAAGACCGTGCCAAATTCAAGAAAATATCTGTCCGAAAAAACCTCCACTGTACGTCTATAAAAACTGTTTAAAGACCAACACTACCGAATACAAAAACACGGAGATATTGAGCAAGGTGTTGAGACAAATTAAGGAAACCTCAAAGGTTGAGGATTTCGAGAAAATCCTAAGGAATCTCTGTCAGAGCGATAACTTTTTAAACTCTCAAAAAGAATACAAAAGGAAAAATAAAACGGACGAAGTCCTGGAGTATTTTCAGCGTCAAAATATTTATGATCAGTTTTTCGGACAACATTATGAGTACTTGTCGGAAATAGTAAGAAAAGCTGAGGAAGACGAAGAACAGTGAAATATAAAAGTATTATTTGAAACATCAGAAAATACATGATGAGTGTTTCAAACAACCGTCTGAATAGTGAAAAGAGCTGATAAAGACGAAAAACAAACGTGCAACTGAATATTTGTTTGAAAAACACTTTAAATCAAACAAAATCCTCAATTATTTCCATGAACAGAAAATATATAACGAGTTTTGTGGATATTAAGAATTCTTATTGGAAAAGTGAAGAAGCTGTTAAACACTCATAAAATTTATATATATTTTGGACAACTTTATGAATACTTATCAGAAGAAGTGAAAAACCTGTTGAAGACGATGGACAATTGTGCAGCTTAACATTTTTTTGAGATATAAGTTTGCAATGAGACGAAATCCTCCATTATTTGGAAGATCAGAAAATTTATGACGATTTTTTCTAGCAACATTATGAATACCTATCGGAAATAGTGAAAATAGTTGTTAAAGACGAAGAACAGTTGTGCAACTAAATATTTGTTCCGAAAAACAATTTTTGGATACACCTTTTCGAATCGATATATTTTCAACTATTTATAGCATCACGCATTTTTTATTGGATGTATTGTAAATAATGCCCGAATTATTGCCTTTACAGAAAACCGCCTTAATTGCTTGCTATATCCATTGAATTCTGTGATATTTACAGGGTGTATTGGTTTTATAAAAATAATATCTCACTTTACGGTGAAGTTTATTCTAAATTTAACGAATATCTGTTTGAAAACGACACAAAATCGGTTTCGCTTAAATTGAAACGGCGTTTCGTGACGCGCTATCAAGCGCGCTAGTCGGAAATCAAGCGTGTACGAGATCAAGACAACCGCGGCAAAACAATTGCACGGCCGGAGACATGTGAGTAGCGTCGTAGTCGTTGGTGAAGTCAATAGACGTACATTTGAAACGCAATCGGCGTATTGTAAACAATCCTATCCACACGCGAACAGTGTTTTGTTTTATTTCGATTGTTTCGCGCTTACCGTTGCAAATATTTCGGTCAAAACGGCACCGAACCAGGCGAACATGGAGTGTAGGGTGCCTACGTCAACCTCTTCCTCCTCCTCTTCAACTAATACTCATCACCAAATCAAACCCAGAGATCTGGACCGGAAGGTGTTGAGGGAAACGCTGTACTCCGAGATCATCCAGCGGCACCGGAGATCCATCTTCGCGCTGGGCTCGTTCCTGAGGATGTTGAAGACCAAAAAGTCCAACTACAACGTCATCAAGCAGGACGGAGAGTCGGAGACTGAATAGCAGTTGTTGTTTCGGTAAGAATGGGCCTCGAGAATGGATAGAGAAATCGAGTGAATGGTTCGGATTAAGGCTTGTTTGGAATAGCGTCATTTCCAAATAAATGCATTTTGTATATAAAATAGCATTTTAACGTTAGTGGTAGATAGAGACTAGATTTTTTTGTATATTTTCTGAAAATCTGATTAAAGCATTTTTAACTCTTTCATATCATAATCAAAGCGAGTTACACTCTATTTAAGTTTCAAAATAAAGCATTTATTCCACATTTTTTTAGAAAAAGATCAATATTTTTTTAAATCGTACTATTAATAACATTGTTATGAAGGAACGTGTTCTATGCTATACTTTTATAGCTGTACAGTATAAACAACAACTGTTTTAATTCAAGCATATATTTCCATCGTGTCTTTTATGATTTTGTAAAAATGAAAATATCAAATTTTAATATTATTACTAATTAATTATAATCAATTTTAATCAAGATATGTCCATATTTTTTCAAAGCGAAATGAAAAATGAGTTACAATAGTTGAAGAATATGGTTCCTTTGTTGTTATTTTTTATGTCTTTGTATAATACAAACTGGTTCCAAAGCGTGTAAGGTTTTTACCAAATATGGAGCTTATTGAATATAGGTTTAAAAGTGAAAGTAAATCATAAAAATTATGAATCATAAGGATGTACTGTTCTTAAATAAAACATGTTATAGGATAAACCAAGGTACGAGTATTCAAAATTCTTTAGGAAATAAATCTAAGAAATGGATGTCAAGTATATTTTCAAAAATAACAAGCATTATCATGGGAGTTGTGGAATTCAGATATACAATAATTTATTTAAATATATAGAGCCCAGAAAATAAAAATAAATGAAGTAATGAAGATATTTTTAGCAAAAAATCCACATATAGATGTATGTTTAGCACATATATATTCGGAACTGTTAAGTAAACATTAAGAATGTTTTTCCTATACTTCTAATTTTGCCCGTCAATGGTTTTTGATTTTCTTTGATCTAAGTTGTTTCTCACATTGCAGAATTGCAGGATCGTTTTTTTTTATCTGGAATTGATTTAAAAACAATTTTGTAAAAAGAATCCAGTGTCTGTAAATGTAGAAAAATATGGATTTTTCAAATAATACTTGTCGCTAATTACACTAACATTATTTTTTGTCAAAAAGTAGTTTTAATTTTTCTCTTCATTTTTATAATAATAATGTATCTATAAAACAAGGTAAATTTTTGAACTATATATTTTTTTTCAAACGACACAAAAGTATTAATCTTTGCGACGTGATTGACAATATAAAAAAGTAATTTTTACTCCTAAGCACAAAAGTACGAAAATATATTATTAAACTGACATAAAGTGTCAAATTCAACAATCGTATCCATAGTTTCTCGATATACAGGGTAAGTCTTAAATAAGTGCAAATATTTTCAGGGGTGGTATATTTCGACCCCAGGAACACGTCTATGAGTTTTTTTTCGCAAAATAAAAGATCTTGAAAATCGTGCATTTTCTTTTAAATTCCCTTGTATATTTTTCGAAAACTTTTTAGAACTGCCTGTTCACCGCAAATTTTCCCACGGTATAATTTCTTAATCTCTGATATTACCATAGTTACGGCTTTACCACAGATTAGGTATCCTATAAGTATACAGATAAAAATCTTGTCCCTAATTCGTGGTACGAAAATTTTAAGAATTTTATGACGATGTGCAAACGAGTCAAATTTCCTGTACGCAAAAATAAACTTGCGTAAAATAGCAATAAACAGCGTAATAGAGAGATATCGCTAAACCGAATAGCGTGCATGGACGTTAATAAGGCCAGGTGTTATTTCCTTTACGTGAGGTGGTATTAACTCTCTTCATTTATAGTTATCGGATCGGAAAGAATTCTGATCGCGTCGCGTCCGCTATTTAAACTTAACCTAACTTTGAATTTAAAACTTTGAAATTGTTTTGTTTACTAGGTATTTTAAAACTAAAGGGCTAAAGTGCTTATTTCCAGTGCTTTATTGTTCAACGTCTGCCAGTGGGTTTAGGGCAACAAGCAACAAATTCTCTTAGAAGGGCTAAGTCGTCATCTGCTGTAAACCTAAGACTCTTTATAGGTTCTTTAGTATTGGAAGAGGTGGAATCCATATTTTGGGCCATATTTATTTAATTAAAACTAATCCCAGCTACTTAAATATCAAATTACCTAATTAAACTAAAGCAATAATTCAAAACAATTCAAACAAAACCTAAAATAAAAGATCTCGCCGGCCGGCTCCGGTTGTCAAATACCCGCACATGCCCATTTAAGCAATTTTTAAACGTTATCAGAGGTTTTTTTGAAAGAGCGCGTGTAATTGATTGAACTAGGGCCCGATTCCGAAAATTGGAACCACGAAAAACAATAAAGAAAAAACAAAGATTATAATCTGTGGCTTTACTCTATGGTTACGGCACTAAAAGAGATGCAATTACAAAAAAAAAATCGGGTGGTTCTCAAAGTTTTTCCAAATTTTTTTTTTTTAATTTTCAAACTTAAATAACTCGGTTATTTTGGACTTATCTCAAAATTGGTAAAGAGAAAATATGTTTCTTTTATCGAGATCTACCAGCCCGGAAAATACTTATTCAAGACTCACCATGTATAATTACACACAAGGTATTACTTTTAAATCTTTTTATATTTGGAACGTTTGAAATTGTTTAAAAAATTATTTGTGGCGTTTGAAAAAAATAGCAAGTTCTATTCGGAGTAAAAATTACTTTTTGTGGATTGTCTGTATGTCGGACTCGCTAGCCACTAAAAGTGTCATTTTTACTCCTAATAAAACAATATACGATTAACTCGACTGATACTTGATATTATCAATTAATTATAACTGAAACCAAAAACAAATATTAATTACTATTCATGTGACTCAATATCTATCAATTAAAGTTGTATAGATCAATTTAAAATCGAATGTATACACATATGTTTTTAAATAGTGATTCTCGATATTCTCTCAATTTATAACAGTATTTTTATTATTTTATGCTCTACTTCTGATACCCAAAATTAATATGCGATGTTCGTTTATTTTTTGTGCAATATAAAACGAGATTTTACGCATCAAGGTTCACTAAAATTTCTTTAAAAATTTAATATTAGATTTTGTATGTGATGCAAAAACTTTTGGAACTTTAATACATGTGTTTAGAGTTTGGAATAAACTTACTAGAGTAATGCGAATTAAAATTTAAAATAGAAAGCTTACTTTGGCTTTAAAATATTACACTATTTTTTCGAAACGCAGTACAGTAGAAAATATATTTTTATGATGTTGTATTTGTTTCTTAAACATTGCTGATAAGCTTCCGAACTTAATAGCAGTGTTATTTTCATATAATTTTAGTATATTAAATACAATCACTTTTTAAAATTAATAATAACTTTTTAGCCGACCATACCTACAGGTATGGTAGGCTATTAAGATCGGCAAAAAAAAGTTTTTTAATTTCACTTAGTGATGAGTTACTTGGGTCATAAATGACCTAAATACAAAATATTTTCATGGTGTCTGTCTGTCTGTCCGTCTGTCTGTAACACGATAACTCAAAAACCGCTAAACCGATTTTAACCAAATTTGGCACAAAAATAATGTGGCACCCCAGAATCTGGCCATTAGTTTTTGGTCGGGGTGGGGGATTGGTAAGGGGGT